TCATTTTTTTCTCGCACCAGATGTCAGGCTTTTGAAACAGCCGCCAAGCAACCGCTTGCCGGTGCCGATGAACAACCCGGTCCGCGGAGGCGGGAGGGTACCTCAACAAAGCGGCAAGGCCAACAACTACCGCTCCGCTGGCTCCGTGGCCTGAAACTGACGTTGGAGCTTTGTGTATCTCTCTTCGCGCGACGAAGCGTTGAGTGCGCTGATACTGGGAGAGACGGTGCCAAAACCTACGGTTGATGTGTAACAGGAAGGTCATAAACACCTACCGCCCCTCCCTGGATGCTTGTACGCATCCTTTTTGTTCCGAACAATGTACACCAATCGCGAAGGGGTCCAATTGTAAATTTCCGCCGCGTTTTCTTTGTCATTCGTTCATGACCGGCCTTTTTTCAAAGCTCGAATGACTGACTGCTGTTTCAGGGACGCACCCTATGTGACCAACCGAGCCACGCCTCCCGCCGCGTGGAGCAGCAGCAGTTGGCGTTGTAGCGCCTTTCGGGGCGCCATCGTATTGGCGATGGTTCCGCCGCGGTCCTCTGCGGTCCAGGCTGGCGAGATTTTATCCACCCGCCGTAGAATACATGTGGTATCGTTTTGTTGCGTTGTTTGTTGTTGGGGTTTGGAGCCGCGAGGTGAACTCGCGACGCCGTATCGTGTGATAGCTGTACCGTATGTGGCAGGGCTGACCTCAGATGGTGTTCACAAGGGGCCAGATGTCTTAACTATAGCCTTGGGTTCTTTCCTTGCCGACCTTTCGCGCGGCCTGTATGGAGTCGCGGGCATGGGAGACGGAGATGCAATGTTGTTATGTGCAACTTCATCTTGAACATGCCGCGCACCGGAGCTGAAGCGAAGAAGTTTTCTTGTCGGATTCACGACGTGTTGACGATAAAATGTGGGGATGTGTGTGCTGTGCAGTGCTGGCCCAGTTTGCCGGCCTTAGTGTTGTTTTTTGTCGCGTCAGATTTTCCCTTGTCCCCCACCCCCGACGTCCGGTGTTTGCCATAGGGGTTGGGTTTTCGTCGCTTGACAACGACGGTGTAAAACAAGCCCCCCCCTAGGTGTTTGCCATCGGGATTGGGTTTTCGTCGCTTGGCAACGACGTCGTAAAACAAGCCAATTCACTTCGTGAACTCGGCAACCAGGTTCCCGTTTTTTTTTACCTCTTTTTTTTTTGGCGGTAACCATAATGGTGGTCGAGTAGATCATGTTGTGCGGGGTGGAGCACCCTCACTCCGCGCAAGGGGGATGATCGCACCACGTTGTGTCAAAATGGTCAAGCACCCTCGAGGCAGTTACACAGTGCTTACATCTGTCTCTGGAAGTGAAAGCACCAGATAGTGCTTATATCTGTCTCTGGAAGTCAAAGCACCAGACAATAAATTAAGTCATCCGCAGCTGTCATCCGTATGCAAGGAAGTAAGCACAAGATGCCGAA